TAAAATGTCCTACATAATTTTATGAATTTGTGAGTACCTAACATGTTCCGAAATGAACACCTTCGTCTAATGGAATCATGTATGCCCTTTTATGTTACAAGCACCGTGAATATATACGCCTACAAACAAAAATGCATATATGTGCACAGAAAATGTGTCATATTGCAATTTCATGGTATACTGTTGCACCTTTAATTACATTAAGCGTGTGTGTACTGCAGAGAGAAATTAAATTAAAAGCGTTAATTAGTGTAATACCTTTTTTTGAATGTATAATGCGTTTTTAAAGAGGCTGTAAAATTGGAATATTTACGAAATTTTTAAACCTACCAAGAAACAAAACGTATACAGGGGTTTAGAAAATATTCCCATAAAAATTGCTAATATATACAGTTAATTTAATAGCTAGTTTCAAATTTATAATTATAATGAATAACCAGAGTCCTAAAATGCTCAGAATGTGATTCATTTCATTATTGTCAAAACCTTAAAAACTCGTTTAATTCAATATAGAAAAAAAACAATTCCAATGTTGCTTTCTCAAAACCACTTTTCATCTATTCAAATTTTAGAAATACCTAATATTAGGTATAAAACTTACAACGGTTGACTACGTAATGTGACTGCTAATTACTTGAAGATATTTTGGATACGACAAAGCGTACCACAATTATTTATTCATTTATGCATTTCCTGGTCTAGAGGTTTAAACCATTGCTTAACATTTGGAAGGACATCGGTCCATGTATTTCTGTGTTCTACATTCTATAGATGGTCTTTTACTCTCTTTTGTCTTCATTTCGTACGTCCCATCTTTCTCACCCCACCAAACTATTCCCACAATTCCTCAAAAGCGGTCGAAAAGAGTTTTCCGCCCTACCCTCCGGACTGTCCGCCGGCAACCATTAGCAGCAGGTAGGAGTTAAACGCTCAAAATTTTTCTAATAAAATAATTTAAGAAATCTGCAGTAGAATCTGATTCTCATCACACTTTGTTCAGGTTTTGGACAGACAAAATGACCATTGGGGCATGTTTAAAATTTGCTGTTGTAAATTATAAGGTGTTCGTTAGGTTTTTTATTTTTTTGGGTTTTTATTCTTGAGTGATTTGCCTAAAGTTCTGTAAATACGAAAAAGCTGTCAAGCACAGACTGAGCCTTCCATCGTATTTATACCACTTAATTATCCTTTCCACTTATCTGTTGTATTTGATGCCTTTTCTTCCCTTTTAAACATTCAATGCACAATTCATATTTCATATAAATGCAATTTGTCCTCTCTGCCTCTATCTTTAATTTGGGATTTAGTCTTTGTCTCAATACGTTCAAGCGGCTGTTCTACCTCTCGATGGAATTTGTTGTTCGATGAAGATTTTTGTACACTGTCCACATATCTAGCGGAAACCTCGAATTCTCCAACCAATTTTATCGACAAGATAATTACAAAGTAAGTAAGCATAGGAGATTCAGGGGTTTGAGAGTGAATTTCCATCCAGCCATCTTGTGCATCTTTTGGCTTTAAGAAACCAACTCTAAACACATTACCTACTGCTACGTTTTTGTCGTCGACATAGGACTCTTGGCAGGTAGTTGTGGTACGTTTTATCGCAAAAAATTAAATTGTACGTTTTGTCGGGATACGAATACATGAAAAAAGGAAAAGTCTAAAACAAACATTTTATATTTTTTAGAAAAAATTTTTAAACCGGCTGGAGTATGTGACTATGTATGTATGTATGACTAAACTAAATTATACCAGCCACAACTGTTCAATACGTTATTTCGTATTAAATCGTATTTCCATATGAGTTCCCGTGTGCACATCATTTTAGTTTAGTAAATGAAGATATTCTGACTGAAAAACATCACAAGAATGCTGCTTTTTTTGTGTAGACCTTCACTGAGGTGATCGTAAAACATCCTGAAAGGTCCAGGCAGCTGGAGTTTTAATTTTTGGGGTGTTAAAGGGACGATTTTCAGATTTTTGCTATTATATCGATCAATCGTTTTGAAGTTAAGGTTGCATAAATTATTCATTCATCTTCCTCCACCGCATCTAATTCCGTGTCAACTTCATCGTCTACTTCAAACAGCTTCATCAATTGACTGATTACACTGGCCAACAAAAGAAAAACAGTTGTTTGTTTCCTGTAATTTTTTTTTGTTTCTCATTTTGGTGAGTATTTTTTAAATATGGCAACAATTTTTATGTAACAGCTTTTCCTTTTGAGTTATAGCTAACTACCCTCATTCACCAATTTTGTTTAGTTTTGTTATGTTTTGCCGGTTATTAAAATATATATTATTGTTGTATTCGATGTGGCTTCCCCAAGAAGGTGTTTCTAACTTATTTTGGTGGATATTTTTCAAATATGGCAACAATTTTTCTGTAACAGCTTTTCTTTTTGAGTTATAGCTAACTACCCTCATTCACCAATTTTGTTTAGTTTATTGTATTTTGCCGGTCATTAAAATACATATTATTTTTTTTTATGTGGCTTCCCCAAGAAGGTGTTGTTTACATAATCCAAACTGTTTTTGCTATATATATGGTGAATATATTTTTGAAAAATATCGAAAACCTATATCGTACTTCGTGAAAACTGCGTATCTTCAATACAAATAGAACTGTGCTATCAAGATAAGCCATGGGTTCCTTATATTGTATGCCAGAAATGTGTTGTATGTCTTCGATTGTGGTCCAATGGAAAAAGGGATGCAATCAATTTCGTAGCACCCATGATTTGGCGAGAACCTCGAAATCACCATGACGACTGCTACTTCTGCGTTGTGAAAATAAATGGAATTAATCCTGGAAATCGTGTAATCCTAATATACCTTCTGCTCAACGACCTCAACTGAAATCACGAGAGGTACAATCTAGTAAATCTAAATACCTTTATAGGTACTTAAACTTGGTATGATGAAACAGTTTGTGAAGGCGTTTGACAAAAGTAGTGAATGTTTCAATTTTTTTTCACGCAAGTTTCCAGGATTAAGTAATGAAAAGTTAAAAGCAGGAATTTTTGATGGGCCACAAATTAGGCAACTCGTGAAAGATCCTGATTTTATCAAAACAATTAGTGAAGTGGGATCGAAAGCATGGAATTCATTTATTTTAGTTATGAGTAACTTTTTAGGGAACAAGAAATCTAAGAATTATGTTGAGCTCATTGAGTGCATAATTTCAAATTTGCAAGAGCTAGGATGTAACATGAACATTAAAATTCACCTCCTACACTCACATTTAGATCGATTCCCAAAAAATGTGGGTGATTTTAGTGAACTGCATGGTGAAAGATTTCATCAAGATATACGGACAATGGAAGAGCGTTATCAAGGAAGGTGGGACTACCATATGATGGCCGACTACTGTTGGAGTTTGCAACGAGATCAACCTGATGCCGTTCATTTANACCGTATATTATCTATCCCACAAAGGAATGAACGAGTATAGATCTACCAGTGAACTTCATGTACACTATCCTTTCAATCGACTAATAAAAATAAAGACAGATATAGAAGAGAATAGGGAACTAATAAATGATATAGGACTGTAGAGTATAATTCGATAAACGTATTAGCATTGCAAAAGGATAGCGCACATATATGCGCTACCAATCATTGCTAGATCGGATTAGGAGTATTACTATTACCGTCTATGAGCATATCAATCAACACTTTTTTTGCTCCGCCTACAATGCTCTATGATCACTCTTTCCTAGAATTGGTAATAGGTAACTCTGTAAGAAGGAGAAGTGTCTGGTAAGAGACTATTCAGAATTAATGTAGTGGAGGGGTTTGAAATTTGAACACCGTGGTTTTTTATGGTTAAAGAAATGAAATCGTTAGTTTGTTTTTGCTAATTATCGAGTAACTCGATTACACGGAGAAAACTAAATTTTTATGGCAAAGCAAAAATTACAATTTTCGATTGTAAATGACTGAATTTGCCGTAGAAATAGTAGAATTTATTAGGTAACTTGTAATAAATAATCTTAATTTTGACATGTTTCTTTAAAAATTATTTCAAGTTTCTTAATTATTACAATTAAATTTGTAATATCAACTAAAATACCTAGTAAATTTATTTCTGCTGGAATTTTATTTTTACATATTCGGGTCCAAATTGTAATTTTTATTATTTTCGCTTACGAAGCAACGGGCTAGAGGGATACATTGTAAATATCCCTTTAATATTTAAGTAAATTTCTCTTTTTCGTTTTCTCCGTGTAAGAGAATGTAAAAATGGAATATTACAAGAATGTCTAGCCGCATGATTTTATGTTTCAGATGGTTTTGAATAAAAACACAAAAGAAAAATGAAATTTTCATTGAAATTTCAGTTCAAGAATGTTGGAAAGCCTAAAAATAATTGAAACTGGTATAGCCTTTCTAAGTATCGTAGGCAACAAAATTTGTTGAAGTAAAATAAAACGATAAATAAGTAATGAGTGTAAAAATATCCCAGGACGATACTCAGTTTCAGTAAGTAGAAAAATCAAATTATTGAAATGAAGAGTTACTAGGGTGTCAAAAATGCAAATTGATTTCGAGATAGTTATTTCAAAAATAATGAAATGAGGGCACTTGCCATAATTTAGCTTGATTGATATACACTTTTGTGAATTTTAAAATTAAGTATATCTATCAAAGATACGACAACAAATAATTTGCTCACTATTTAATCTTTTAAATAACTTTGAGAATATACTTTAATAATAATCATCTTTCTAACCTGACCTCAGAATCGGAACCGGGGGTTAATTCCCCTTACAGCGAAAATTTCAAGAACTGCATGGTTTCCCGAGGCTCCGACCATCAGATACTAAGAAACTTAGATAGTACCTATAGATAGTCACCAGTTTTTTAAAAGTTTTATTTAAATTAGCCTAACAGTTCCAGAGAAGCAGACATTCCTGCAGTTAATAGCTTTTAATTGTCAAATAGTGTTATACGCTGATCGCATAAATATCCATCACAGACTTTTTGGATCGAATCGTCAAAATTTAAATGTCATCATTTTGACAAATGGTCTTAATATTCTTATTCCAACGAAGATCGTTGTTGCAGAAAAGAAAATGGTATTTCAAATAAGGTTTTATTTCATTTAATTAATTAAGAAGAATAATGTGGATAATCTCTTTTGAAACATTTGGAGAAAAAAGCACCTGAGCCAAGCTACTATGTTTGAAGTATAACACGATTGCTTAATACAAATAATTGCGCAATTATGGATTTGGACAAATGGATTGCACAGCTTTATAACGGTAAGGAACCGAAATTATTTTCCTTCGTTCTACTTCCTTTTGTGTAGGAGTATATTTGCAGGCATGTGACATTGAAAAATTATGTCATGCAGCAAAAGACATTATGTCTAAGGAAAAAAACATTCAAGAAGTAGTCACGCCGGTTACTATTTGTGGTGACATTCATGGTCAGTTTTATGATCTGCTAGAATTGTTTCGAATCGGTGGGAGATGTCCAGATATCAATTATTTATTTCTGGGAGATTACGTAGATCGCGGAGAATATTCGGTTGAAGTAATCACACTTTTGGTGGCTTTAAAGACGAAATACAAAGAAAGAATGACTATAATAAGAGGCAACCATGAATGTAGACAGGTGACGCAAATGTATGGATTTTACGATGAATGCTTGCAGAAATATGGCGGAAACAATTCGGTTTGGAAGCAGTTTGTTGATTTATTCGATTATTTTCCAATAACTGCTCTCATTGATGAAGAAGTTTTCGCCGTGCATGGTGGCCTTAGTCCTAGCATTAAAACTTTAGACGATATCAGAACTATAAATAGATTCATAGAAGTACCAACTCAAGGTCCTATGTGCGATTTACTTTGGTCAGATCCATGCGAAGAACCCGGATGGTATGTTTCTCCTCGGGGAGCAGGTTTCTTCTTTGGAGAAGATGTGTCTCAGGAATTCAATCGTACCAACGATTTGACGTTAATTGTTCGAGCACATCAACTTGTTATGCAGGGATATTTCTTTTGCCATAATTACAACGTTCTTACAATTTTCAGTGCTCCTAATTATGTACAGAAGTTTGATAATCTAGGTGCGTTTATGGAACTCAATGAAAAGATGGAGTACTCCATTATACAATTTGATGCAGCACCAAAGAAAAAGAAGTGGTTCTTTCAAAGAAATTAACCAACTATTACTAATGTATTGTTCTTTTATGTTTCATTATATTAAATTAAAATATTTTGTATTAAATAGTGTTCAAACTCGGTAATAGAAAAATAAATTAAATAATAAATTGTGCAGCTCAGAGTAAATACCTGTAGATGTGTCTTTTCGGCGAACATTTTTAAAAATAGTTACCAAAAACTTTTCAATAAATAAAATAATTCGAAGTGGTCTGTATTCTGTCGAAACTGCCAGACGCGGATCGCGATTTCGATCTTTTTGGATCTCATCAGCGCGTCGCAGGCAGCTCCGACAGAACACAGACCAACTTTTACCTGCTGTATTAACAGTGCGTTTTAGTAAATAATACAAATGGCACAGTAAACGCCATCTGTAGCACGATGCTACATTTTAGGATTACGTATGCTCCAACAAGGTCCACTATCTATAGTAGTTGCTGAAAACGAATCCATTTTTCCACATTTCAATAAATACTTTATAAACAAACTTCAAAATAACAAACCTTTAATTGATTGAGATAAATTTAAGAAATTAACATTTATATGTAAAAATGCCCTCAGTGAATACTCAGCAAAGTCGAAACTGTTAGAAGACTGCCGCCAATCTCACAACAGACTATCGACTCAAAACAAGGTGGTATTGCTCTAGGTTCCGGGTCATAGCGGTTTAAAGGGAAACGAACTAATACAGATCTGCTTGGGTGCCCGACATCTCATCGGTCTAGAACCTGCTGTGGGTAATTGTAGAAGCCAGGTCAAGCAATAAATTGCGAGATGTGCCACTTCAGAACTCTACAGGGACTGGGGAATACAACAATGATGTAGGCAGGTAAAGGTCTTTATCTCTCCTAGAAAATGCAGGGAGTAGGAAGAACAAATTGTTATGCTCGGTAGGAGAAAAGTCAAAATTCTTGCAAGTCACGGAGAACTGTGCTACTAGAAACAAACTGAGATTAATTATCATTTCTTTCTGTCTCTTTTGCGAGGAGGAGATAGAAAATGTCATTCTCCTGCGCTGTCTCAACGTAGGCGTCATACCTTTGGTTACCACGTTCTACAAGCAAAAGACGTTAGCATAGACTAGACTAGTCTTAGAATGTTCTCCTCTTTTGAAGTTTTCCTATGAAGCGTTGGTGGGAGGGTAACTAAAAGGGGAAAGCCAAGGGATGATTGCCCGTGCTTTTGAGGTGTGGACAAGCCTAAACACAACGACAATAATAAATACATGATAACTTCTATTTAAGGGTATTCTGGATCTGTGATAAAAATATATGAGATTTGAAATACAGAAATTTGGTCTACGTTTTCATAAAATGTCTTGCCGATTTGCATGAAAACAAAAATTCAAAATGGCCGATTAAATATCCCGCCCTTCGAGATAGGAGATCATGCCTATATTGAATTGTCAAAATTTTATATTCGAATTACAATGATCAGCAATTTAAATTTTTTGTAAAGTACTGATTTGATTCTGATTATTGTTTAACCACTGTAATTGTCAGAAAAGGCTTTAAAATTTCAAAAGATAAAAAATCACTAAATCTGTCGAAAAATCTATAACTTAGAGATTTGACTTTGTTTGTATATAATAAAAGGTTTACCAGGCAATTTGAAAGAAAAACAGATTTTGAAGGCATTTCTGTAACAAACTATTCATAGCTCACATATTAAAAGCGATAAAGGACGTCAAATGAAACTCTAATAGCCTGGTATTAAGCAATTCGTATAGGAAAATTCGATTATTCGCTTTTTATACCATTTTCAATTACTTCTACAAATAAAAATAAGCCATTTCTAAAGTAGCGAATATCAATTTGAAAATTTTCAGAAAAGGATAATTGAGCGGAACTGTATTCGCGAATAAACGTAATTAAAATCTTATCAATTACAGGCGTGCGTTGTCTTGAAAATCTTATCTGCAATAAATGTTATCGCAAAACGTGAATCCCTGCGAATTGATCTCTCATTCAAAGATATTCCAAGTGAGAATTCGCACGTTTAATCTAATTAAAACATGTCTGTTAAATATTATACGTTGGAAGAAATCGCTGTGAACAACGGAAAAGATGGAAAACCTTTATGGTTTATCCATAAAAACAACGTGTACGATTGTACTGATTATGCGAAAGACGTAAGTGACGATTTTTTAAATATGCTTATTTAAAGACAAATTAAAATTCTACTTATATATACCCACTTTTAATTAAAATATTTATGTCAATTTCCATTAAAGGTAGGATAGTCTTTTTTTTTTTCAAATAACCTGCATTTATTTTTGGAATACATTAGTGGAAAAATATTTTTACAACGAATAATACAAATATATATGTACATGTATATAGTCGTTCATATCCACAATACATAATTACTATCAGTTGAAAGTATTGGTGTAGTCATTAATCGCTTATTTTATCTGTTGATGGGCATGTATTTCGATAATTTGTAATTATAACTGATCTTCGCCTCTATAAATTATTACCTAACATATGTATGGGGGAGTACTACGTTTTTCGCTGGAAGTCTACTTTCACAATTCCTCATTTAAACGAAAAATTATAATGGTAACATATCTATGAACACATCTTAAATAAAATTTAAAAGAGGAAAATTCATCACGTCTCGCGACAAATTAATATTTCTTTCAAAACAATGAAACTTGTCCTTGTCCTTGTCTCCACGCCGATAATAGAATCATCCAAATCATTTCAATAAAATTAATGATGTAACAATGAATCCAGTTATCACGATTAGTTTTATCTCCAGATAAATTTGATAGATAATTCTTAGAAGCAATTCGTTACACTATTTCCAAATTGTATTCCAAATGGTTATTTAGAGAAAACTATTAAAAATTTTTTTATTATATCCTATGAAGTGTTTTTAAATAGGTTATTGAAAAAATAACGAATTACTATTGGCACCTTTGAATCAATTTGGTATACATATGAATACATTTGGCTTAATCATCTCATTTCGAACCTAGTTACCTTTGGTTGATCCATGCATATGGAATTTTGGGACATCCCATATTCTTCCACTTGTATTAAGAAAGTAGTAGAAGTAGTGTACTTACCGAAAAAATTCAGATACTGCAATTTAAACAGATAGCAAAACAATTTTCGTAGTTCTCTCAAAATCTGAATAACTAGTGAATAACTAGTGACCCGCCCCAGCTTCGCACGGGTGCAATGCTGATACTAAATATATTTTTGTTTTGTTTAGATTATTATCGAAAAGGGGAAACCTTCAAAAGATACCCCCTGAACATACTAATTATACTAAAGAATGTCTTTATATACAACATTCACAGTTTTTTGTCATTAGACAATACAAAACGGCAATCGCAATGTCCCTGCATTTTAAATCTGTAATATCTTCGAAAATATTCATTTAAATTACATGCTGTCAAGGGCCATATTGATCTATATTAAATGCACAATGTATGTAAGGTACTTAATTGGATAAGAATTAATGCTATATTGCCTACAATCGCTTCGTAAATAAGTCATTATTTCTCATAAAAAGTAAAGGATAAAAATGGTTATTGTGGGTTATCCCTAAGAGATAGACATATACCATCGCGGACTTTTTTGTAGACCCTTTTAAGATGTACAATATTGTAGTACATTATTTTGATCTATCTCATAGGGTTCAGCCAGCGTTTGCAATGTAAGCGCAAAAAATGTGTTTATTTACGACATCACATTAGAAACCTCTAAAATTATCAGTGTTTCCATACTGTATTATGCATGTATTATACATATAAACCTTCCTCTTGAATCACTATCTTTTAAAAAAAACCGCATCAAAATCCGTCGCGTAGTTTTAACGATTTAAGCATACATAGGGACAGACAGCGGGAAAGCGACTTTGTTTTATACTATGTAGTGATAACGAAAAAATACAGAATTTAGATATATATCGGAGACAATTTATTCCTGTTATTCTACAATGAAAAATGAAACTATTTCAAAAATGTTTATTTAATCATAAAAGTAATCGTACGGCGATAAAAAAATAATTGTCGCTTATATCCTTTATTAGGATAGAATACGATGCAAGCAGCTAGTAATTTAAAGAAATAGATATAAAGGAAGTGTGAAATAAATCAAACCTTAATGATGTCACGTCCACAAATAAATAATAGATAAAATTATGATTAATAGGTTCAAACTTATCAATTTTAATGCATCTTAGACTTTTAAATATGCTGCAATTTATGTATGAGTACGTTTGAAAAGAAATGTAACTCTAGTAACATGTTCAACAAGGAATATTTTATATATTTATTCAAATCAAAGTAATGTGTAGGGTGTAGCGGCTGGCATTTTTCGTTGAAATAGTATAAGTAAATAGTAACATTAATTGATAAATAATTACGCATTCTGATAACTCGTTGTCGAAACAATAACTATTTCTTATTATTACATGATATGATCTTTTTGTAGATCCTATTATTGAAAATAAATCAATAAGCAAAGTACTTTTACGGGGGTATAATCTTTTGAAGTTTTAATAATCACAATGCCCGAATTAAGTTTATAATCGGTTGTCTTATTTTTAAGACATAAATGAAACCTGTTTTAGTTTTTACATTGAATTAATCTCTAAACTTCAAACCTTCAAAAATATTACAAAGTATAAATATGGTTTCCCGAAAACAGGACAAAGCAATACATACAAAATTTCTGTACGACTAATTCTTGAAAGGTTTTTTCACCATATTAAATCAGTGCAGTCAAAAATTGTCGTCTAACAACATGTAATAGAGAAATTCTCCACCGCAATTTAATGAGGGGTTTGGTCGATTTTTTTTTCATGTGGGGTTTTTAAAACACTCTAGTAATATGTGTGGTTTGTTGTTTCAACCAATCTTCTAATGATTTCAATGATTTTAACATTTTTAATTGCTATGATAAAATGATACACAATCTTGCTCTAACGAGTGTTAACAATAAAGAACTTCAAACGAGAATGAGTTATTAATGTTGATATGCATAAAAAATTTGCATCCAACATATAGATACACTTTGATTTCAATTTATTAGGTGGTACAATGGGCCAAAATCAGTTTAATTGCTTTATTGCCATAATATATTCGATATTTTTGGAACACGCCATGCAAGTACGTATTAGTTCCTACTAGGTACTCCCTCAAATAAAAATTATACGATAGTTATTTAGAGAACATAGTGGATGAATTGGTTTTTATTCTGTTGTGCACAAATAAATTAATTCTACTAATGTCTTTTCGCAATTAAGCATCCTGGTGGAGGTGAATTAATCGAGGAATGGGGTGGAAAAAATGCAACCAAGGCCTTTAACGAAGCTGGACATTCTGCGGACGCAAGGGATGAAATGAAACAGTATAAAATAGGAGAGGTAGCTTTGGTAAGTAGGAATATTATTAGCTATGAAACAGTTTAATTAAAATTAATTGTGAATGTTAAAATGAAAAATTATTAAGTTTCAAAAATATATGTGAATTGTTCGCAACAAATTGTTTTTGAAGACAAATCTAAATTTAATAATGGAGAACTATTTTGTATCANAATGGTTGGAAATGTGAAGTAGGAGAATAGGGGGTGTTATGGAAATCAGTAGGGAATAATTGAAATAAATTGGTAGTAATTTTTTAAGACATGAAACGCTAATTAGAGAAATATTACAAGTAGGAAAAGGAGTTAAGAGGGGGTAGATGTAGACCTAGTTTAGATTACTATTCGCAAATAGTTAAATATTTGGAGTTGCTGAAGTTTTCTTGAAATACGAAGATGGAAGAGGTAGTTATATTTATTATGGAGTTTCAACAAGTAAAGCTTTTTACCATTAATTATAGAAAAAATATTAGATATCTATTAATTGTTTTCGTTTTTTGGACATGTCTAGTGAAACTGTTGTATAAATATGAAGAAAAAAATAGTATACTTAATTAAAACTGTCAGATGCGTGACTCATTAATTTTGACCAAAGAAGAACCTTAATCCTGTGCGAATAGTCTTCATGTGCGTGAAATAAAGGATGTATGAACAATTTTTCTCATAAGTATTCAATAATACTATTTTTGCGAGTTAACACAACTTCATGATTTGTTAAATATTTATTGAAATTAGAAATGGGTCGGGTATCTGGTTTACCCGGTGGTAAACCATGGTACCCGGCGTATCCACCATATTCTTTAAGATCCGGCCGGGTACCATAGAATGACGTTAAGTACCCGACAGGGCCAGGTAATTCTACCAAATAAACAAGGAAAACTAACACCAGCAGTAATAATTTAATAAGTATAAGTAACAAACACCTACCTAATAAAAATTAGAATTAAAATTGTATTGGGATACGTCGTTTGTCTTAATTTGTATTATTTCTTGATTGCTCTACTAAATTATTTATTATTTCGATATAGTTCTTGTGTTTACTTTTTTGTAAAGCGTACAATCCGTACAATTATGCACGGAAAAATTGACCATTTTAGCCACTAAAATTACATTGCTCAAATTTGCTGTTGTTAGTACCAATTACTACTGAAAATATCAACGAGATGTTTATTTATATTTAAAGACATTTTAAAGGCTTTAACGCTTGTTTTCGACTCGCACTACTATTCATGATTGATCAAAACTTTTGGCAGGTACTGTATGAAAAAGTATGTTTAATAAACAAGAGTCGAGATATAATGAACTTTTTCTCTCTACCTACGATTTTGCCAGCGCGCATCCAAGACATTAGAAGGGGCATATCGCTAGAGAAAGTAAATGAAGTATATCTAAGTTGAAAGAAGAAGCAATAATAATTTAATAAGTATAGGTAACAAAAACCTACCTAATAGAAATTAGAATCAAAATTGTATTGGGATAGGTCGTTTGTTCTAATTTGTGTTATTTCTTGATTGCTATACCAAATTATTTGTTATTTCGATATGGTTCTTGTGTTTACTTTTTCTTACGAACAAGAATACATCAGTATGGCCAAAAGTTGCAATTTCTGTCGCTTATTAGTATAATTTTGTCACTTAGCAAACTTTTAGTGTTTATGAACATTACGGGCTCGTTTCAACTCAATTCTCTCGTTGAAAATTCACAATCCGCCAACCAACAGTTAGAATTTCATTGAATTGGTATTTTAACAATATTTGAACGGAATTTAATGTGGTTCAGGACGTTGGTGAGGTTGGTATTTAGTGGAAAGCCCGCCAGAACGAAAATATATCCGGTACCCGACAAAATTAATCCAGTGCATCTCTAATTCAAATTGTTTACAGTGCATGGCTAATTAAATTGTCTCATTTCGAGGATTGTATTTTGTTCGTTTCCGATTAAACAACAAGTACCGTTTACATATACAATAGTTGACCAAAGAGTTGTTTCTTCAATTTCAAGGCACAAAATGATCGATGCGCATCACTAAGTGCCGGTGCACACTTGCGACAGTTTGCCGCCGCGGGTCCGCAGCGGCACCGCAAAGTTTGCTGCACACTTGTTGGTATTTTTGCGGTTTTGTTGCGGCGCCGCAAAAGTAATAAAAATATATATCTAATACAGTGTCATTCGTTTTTAAAGAAAATCAGTCAGTGCGACAAGTTGAATAGTGCAAAATGGAAGTTTTTATTAATGAAAGGCGTGCAGTTTTTACGTATTTGGTGTACAAATGCGTTATTGATCGAAAAAAAAAAAAGACGATTTCGGGTAGACCCATATACCAATTTACGGCTTACGAGGGGCACATTTGTAACGTCGCTTTCGTATTTAAGGGAGAATCCTGACTAATTTTTCAACTACTTTCGAAGGAGTGTTGCTTCATCTGATGAATTAACAGCAAAAGTTTCTAATAGGATAAGATCGCAAAAGATACAAGATTAAAAGTCTCCATAATCCCACTAGAAATGTTTTCTCCTTGTCATCCAGCTCCAAAAATCCATCGGAAAACATTTCACAGATTATAATCCATGCAGACCTGTTTTTGACTCTTTCATGGTATAGGTATATTTCTGAGGAAATATCCCATATCTCTGGGAACCAACCCCTTTACTGCATCAATGAATAATTCTATATCCAAATCTTCAGAAGTTCTAGTAGCAGCCATCCTTTTTTGCGTCAATTTGCCGCAAGTGTGTACCAGCCGATATACAAACGAGTACTACAAAACCGCAATAGCGGCAGCGGTGCCGCCACGGTTCCGTAGGGACCTGCGGTTCAAAACGGTCGCCATTTGGACGCGCGGCCCCGCGGCGGCGCGCAGATGAATGTGCATTAACCCATTTACCTGTTAGTACTTTAAGCTGCAATTGCGGTGCCGCAGCGGAGATTGCCGCAAGTGTGCACCGGCGCTAAGCCGCAATTGCGGTGCCGCAGCGGCGATTGCCACAAGTGTGCACCGGCGCTAATACTTGACCAAAGATATATTTATATAAATGCATATTTTACAACTGAACAGAAAAAAAACTGCATGCTCAATCTTATGAGTGATATTAAAATGAATGTGTCTTATTGTAGGAACAAAGAAAAGGAGCTACGAAAAAAGAGAAAGGACCAAAGGTTGTGGACGATAAGCCCTCAGATAAACCAAAATCCAGGTAATTTTCTAAAAAATAATTTTATGGTCCTTTTTACATCATCATAAGGTCATCCGAATCCGAATGCACCTCCACCATCTTCGCATTTCCCTAAAATTAAAATATCCCACGAACAACAATCTAATTTAAGTTTACTTCAGTCCCTCTTTATCTTTTTTCGTCTTCTCCTACTTCTAATATGTCTCTTATTAATCCTTCATGACTCAGAAAGTGTCATACCTATCATACATAAGCAAATACATCATTTTCCTCTTCGTTTATTAATTGTTCTTCTAATAATACGTCATTATTGTTAACCTTTTCTATCCACGACATCTTCATCTGTCCCTAAGATGATATCTCTAACGTTATTTATTTACAGTAAGATAATAGTGCGTAAATCTCCTTGAAAATTTTCCCATGTATTACGAACAGATGACAAGTTGGTTTTTTATTTGGGAAAACTTTTTTCAAGCGTAATATGCACATGCGTTACTGCGAATAAATTATCGTAATTAATGTATTAATATATATGATATCAAAAATTTTTATCAAACCGTAAAATAAACACTTTCATGATTGATTATGATTTTCTATGTAGATCTTGATTATGATTTTGAGTGTAGATATTTTATAAGAGTATAGATTAGTAAAAGATTAGCAAGCCTAGATTTGAGAATGATATGGCAGTGTTAGCATCTAGCGAGGAGAAGTTACAGTTATCATATGAAAATTCATAAAAATAAAATAAAAGTATTGACATGTAGGGCATGAAAAAGTAGAGCTAGAACTAATATAAAAATAGGAGACGATAAACTAAAGAAATGATATGCAGGGAGCATGATATCTCGTAATGGAAAATGAGCTAGCAATATAACACAAAGAATAGCGAATAGGGTCGGGTCGTTGCTAACAAAAATAGATTACTTTTGTGCTCGAGATCGGATAATTTGGAAATTAAAAAAAGGTTATTAAACGTGTTGAGGTAAATAAAAGATTAAAAGCTTTTGAGATGTGGTATTATAGAAAAGGACATAGAAATGGTTGGAAATGTGAAGTAGGAGAATAGGGGGTGTTATGGAAATCAGTAGGGAATAATTGAAATAAATTGGTAGTAATTTTTTAAGACATGAAACGCTAATTAGAGAAATATTACAAGTAGGAAAAGGAGTTAAGAGGGGGTAGATGTAGACCTAGTTTAGATTACTATTCGCAAATAGTTAAATATTTGGAGTTGCTGAAGTTTTCTTGAAATACGAAGATGGAAGAGGTAGTTATATTTATTATGGAGTTTCAACAAGTAAAGCTTTTTACCATTAATTATAGAAAAAATATTAGATATCTATTAATTGTTTTCGTTTTTTGGACATGTCTAGTGAAACTGTTGTATAAATATGAAGAAAAAAATAGTATACTTAATTAAAACTGTCAGATGCGTGACTCATTAATTTTGACCAAAGAAGAACCTTAATCCTGTGCGAATAGTCTTCATGTGCGTGAAATAAAGGATGTATGAACAATTTTTCTCATAAGTATTCAATAATACTATTTTTGCGAGTTAACACAACTTCATGATTTGTTAAATATTTATTGAAATTAGAAATGGGTCGGGTATCTGGTTTACCCGGTGGTAAACCATGGTACCCGGCGTATCCACCATATTCTTTAAGATCCGGCCGGGTACCATAGAATGACGTTAAGTACCCGACAGGGCCAGGTAATTCTACCAAATAAACAAGGAAAACTAACACCAGCAGTAATAATTTAATAAGTATAAGTAACAAACACCTACCTAATAAAAATTAGAATTAAAATTGTATTGGGATACGTCGTTTGTCTTAATTTGTATTATTTCTTGATTGCTCTACTAAATTATTTATTATTTCGATATAGTTCTTGTGTTTACTTTTTTGTAAAGCGTACAATCCGTACAATTATGCACGGAAAAATTGACCATTTTAGCCACTAAAATTACATTGCTCAAATTTGCTGTTGTTAGTACCAATTACTACTGAAAATATCAACGAGATGTTTATTTATATTTAAAGACATATTAAAGGCTTTAACGCTTGTTTTCGACTCGCACTACTATTCATGATTGAACAAAATTTTTAGCAGGTACTGTATGAAAAAGTATGTTTAATGAACAAGAGTCGAGGTTATAATGAGCTTTTTTCTCCCTACCTACGATTTTGCCAGCGCGCATTCAAGACATTGGAAGGGGAACATCCCTAGAGAAAGTAAATGAAGTATACCTAAGTCGAAAAAAGAAAATAAATGTGACAGTTTTATTGCAGACTGTACCAATTTTGAGCGTCCGAATTATATTTATTATAAGTTACTTATTATGGATGTATTGGATTTACTTATTTCTTTTCTGTTGTAGGAGTTGCATCAATATTATAACCTGTGGACTGATAGGTTGATTATATCGGTAATAGGAAGAAGTTGATAAAAGAAGTGATCTAAGCAACATTCTTACAGCTTATATAGAGTGTAACCTCTCTATAACGAAACATACACAATATTGAGAAATATATTGAACTCATGTGTTATTATTTAGGTAATTTTTAATTGTGAACGTCTTTCAGTCTTTGTGAACGTGCTTTTAATTTATTGTACAACTTTTATAACTATCTTTACAATAGTGTCTTTAATTACTGTGTAACAACTAATTGTGTTATTTATTATCTTTACTAAGTCACACTGAATGTTTTACACCATTTTACATGTACCGTTACTTACCTAAATTGCAAACAAAAACCCTACCTTTAAAAAGAAACGTTGATTGTTAGTTTTAATTTAATAAAAACTTTTTTTCATCAAATTGGCTCTGATTTCACATTGTACATGGAGAAAAATCTTGTATAAATTACAATGCTGTCTCCTAATGTCATAATCTGGATGCTTTCGGCTGATGATAAGTTATAATAGCGTACATGCTGTTATTGATTTCTATTAAAGTTTATAAGGTTCTCTTATAAAAATTCTTGGTCTAATGTTGAATTTCGTCAATACAAGCTTCTGGTATCCACATTATAGTGACGACTATGGTAATCTTTCTCTCCGTGTAGTGATATATAAGGGAAGAAGTGGAAACAAATACACGAGTTCAATCTAGGGGCTGACTTTGTTTCGTTAATGCACACCAAACAAGGGCGGATTGTTGTCATGGAGAATTTTCGTTATAAGTATTGAGAAAAATGAAAAGTCCGAAACATTATACATTAAAGCAATTTTTTATCTATAAAATTTTTTTACTAACCATGTTCTTCACATATGGAGGACTGTATGTATGAGGGCGGTTCAATAAGTACCCGTGTTTATTTTTCAACATAGTCCCCTTTTAGAAAGATACACTTCTCCCAATGTCCCTGCCATTTTTTTTACCTCTCCAAAAAATAAGATTTGTCGAACTCTCCAAAATCCCCCTGTCTCGGCGATGATTTCCTCGTTTGAGCTAAATTTTTTTCTGGCGAGTTATTTCTTCATGGTAGGGAACAAGACAAAGTAGCAGGGGGTCAAATCGAGTGAGTACGGGCTGTACGGCAGCAGTTCGTAACGTAATTCATGCAGTTTGGCGGCAACAACTCCTGATGAATGTGCCGGTGCGTTATCGTGTTGAAAACGCACCTTCTTTTTCGTCTGTAGTATTGTCCAGTGATTGTTCTTCCTTTTCCTAGAAAATCCGTAAAATGATTTCCTCGGTAACAACGTTTGCCAGGCTTCCTGGTCGCTCCTATAAAAAACGGATCTTTGCCCACGTTTAAATTCGTTGAAGCAATATCTAACTGTGGTCGTAGATGGCGAAATGCCTCCATAAACAGTATCCAACTTTGTTTTCATCTCCTCGCATTTTTTCACATCCAAAAACAAAAAGCGAGTTACCGAACGATACTGCTCTTTTTCCATCTTAGCGAAAATAACGAAACACGTCTCAGTCGAATGGCTGCCAAATCCAAACTAACCTATCAATCAGTCTGAAATTCGTTTTGG